CCAATGTTTTCTAGTTACAAAAAAGAAGAACAAGTTTCTTTTCTTTTTTTGAAATGGAGTCTTGCTCTGTCATCCAGGCTGCAGTGCAGTGGCACAGTCTCGGCTCACTGCAACCTCTGTCTCCCAGGTTCAAGCGATTCTTCTGCCTCAGCCTCCTGAGTAGCTGGGACTACAAGTGCTCGCCACCATGCCCAGCTAATTTTTATATTTTAGTAGAGATGAGGTTTCACCATGTTGGTCAGGCTGGTCTCCAACTCTTGGCCTCAAGTGATCTGACCGCCTTGGCTTCCCAAAATGCTGGGATTACAGGCATGAGCCACTGTGCCCAGCCTCCAAAAAAGAACAAGTTTCTGAGAAATTAAATTACTTATCTAAGTTCATGAAGCCCTCTATGGGACAGATTCAGGGTAACCCCGTCAAGTGAGCACTCCAGATGTTCCCTTTGTTGCCACTTATCAACTTGATAAACAGGGATTGTTGAATTACTACAACGATGAAGAGACAGAGAGGTCAAAGTAACTCCCAGTTTTCTGAAATGGTGAGTGGACTATGGTTCATTCACCAAAACTGAGAATACAGGTTGCTAATTCTAAATAGACTCACTATATATTGGTGCAAGTTAATGTGTAAAATAAAAGGTTTCCTGGGAATGTGGGGAATGAGAAGTTGTTGTTTAATGGGCATAGAGTTTCAGTTTTGCAAGATGAAGAGTTCTAAGCCAGGGGCATTGGCTCACACCTGTAATCCCAGAACTTTGGGAGGTTGAGGCAGGGGGATCACTTGAGGTCAGGGGTTCGAGACCAGCCTGGCCAACATGGTGAAAACCCATATCCCAGCTACTTGGGAGTCTGAGGCAGGAGAATCGCTTGAACCCTGGAGGTGGAGATCGCAGTGAGCAGACATTGCACCACTACACTCCAGTCTGGGCAACAAGAGCAAAACTACGTCTAAGAAAGAAAGAAAGAAAGAAAGAAGGAAAGAAAGAAAGAAAGAAAAGAATTCTGAAGATTGGTTGCATAACAATGTGTATGATGTGAATGTACTTCTAAACTGCATATCATACTTTATACTTGATCTTAGCCAAAATGCTGAGAAGTGATGAACTGCATACTTTAAAATGGGTAAGATGGTAAATTTTGTTATATGGGTTTTACCACAATAAACAATGAATAAAAGGTTTTCCTTTCCTAGCTTGCCTCTGTCCACCCATTGTTCAAATTGGAGCTTTCTCTCTTAGCTTTTGTGATGAGTGAAGAGGTGCTCTCCAAAGATATTTAAAAATACCAATAAAAGGAATATTCTTTCATTTATTCACTTTCAGAGGGAGTTCAAGAAGTTGTCAAGTGAATGAATTAATTAATTTAACAAATATTTATCAGTTTCCCTATCTTAAACCTGGGATGTTCTAAGCCCTTTATCCTCAAAGTGTGGTCTCCAGATCAGCAGCACTAGCATCACCAGGGAATTTGTTAGAAATATACATTCCTGCGCCGGGCGCAGTGGCTCAAGCCTGTAATCCCAGCACTTTGGGAGGCCGAGGCGGGTGGATCACGAGGTCAAGAGACTGAGACCATCCTGGTCAACATGGTGAAACCCTGTTTCTACTAAAAATACAAAAAATTAGCTGGGCATGGTGGCGCGTGCCTGTAATCCCAGCTACTCAGGAGGCTGAGGCAGGAGAATTGCCCGAACCCAGGAGGCGGAGGTTGTGGTGAGCCGAGATCGTGCCATTGCACTCCAGCCTGGGTAACAAGAGCGAAACTCCATCTCAAAAAAAAAAAAAAGGAAAAGAAAAAAGAAAAAGAAATATACATTCCTGTGGGGCATGGTGGTTCATGCCCGTAATCCCAGCACTTTGTGAGGCCGAGAAGTACAGATTGCTTGAGTCCAGGAGTTTGGGACCAGCTTGGGCAACACGATGAGACTCTGTACCTACAACATAAAAAATTAGCTGGGCATGGGAGTGCACAGCTATAGTCCCATCCACTTGGGAGGCTGAGGTGGAAGGATTGCTTGAGCTGGGAGGTTGAGGCTGCAGTGAGCTGTGATTATGCCACTGCACTCTGGGAGAAAAAAAAGGAAAGAAAAAACATATGCATTCCTGGACCCCACTTCAGACATACTGAATCAGAAACTTTGGTGGTAGGACCCAACAATTGCTATTTTTACCAGCCTTTCAGATTACTCTGATGCATGCTCAAATTTAAGAAAGACAATTCTAGATAGCACTGATACAGAGGTAAAGAAAACAAAGTGCCTATCCTCTTGGAGCAACAACAGACAAATAGATATAAATAAAATTTCAGGCTAAGGTCGGTGTTATCAGGGAAACCAGCACAGGAGAAGACGGGATAACAGAGGATGCTCAGGCAGGGTCTCTTTGAGGGGTATGAGCTCTGAAGTCACATCGAGCAGGATCTGAAAACTGGTTCCACCAGTTACTAGCCTTTTAAAAGTTTGGTTTCCTGATCTTCTAAAAAAGAGATAATAATATTACTTACAAGTTTACTCTGAAGATTAAATAAGATAATGCTAATAAAATCCTTGCAATTGTTTCTGCCACAGAGTAAGGCTTCAATAAACGTTAGCCCTCCACATATGATGTATATTTGGGAATAGATGTATATTTGGGAATCATTGATGTAGAAATTAACAGTAACGTGGATGAAAAGGTGGCTAAACCAAGACACAAAAAGAGAAGTAGATGGATGATGGGCTCCTGGTGGGGCAGAAGTAGGTTGAGAGATGGTGAGGAGGTAAAGAAATGAAGATGTGGAGAGGGAGCTTTTTCTGAACCCAGCTTTAGCTTAGAAGAGGAGGCCAGTGGATTGGTTGACAAACCAGCCATATGGTATGCCTGTGACTGAGGAGGTTCTCAGGATGCGGGACTTTCAGTGCTAAAACTAGGAAAGTCAGACGGGTGCAGTGGCTCATGCCTGTAATCCCAGCACTTTGGGAGGCTGAGGTGCGCAGATCACGAGGTCAGGAGTTTGAGACCAGCCTAACGTGTTGAAACCCCGTCTCTACTAAAAACATAAAACTTAGCCAGGCATGGTGGCGCATGCCTGTAATCTCAGTTACTCAGGGAGGCTGAGGCAGAAGAATCGCCTGAACCCGGAAGGCCGAGGTTGCATTGAGCCAAGATCGTGCCATTGCACTGCAGCCTGGGTGACAGAGCAAGACTCCATCTCAGAAAAAAAAAGAAACTAGGAAAGTCCTGGGCAAGCTGGGCCAAGCTGGCCACACTAGCAGTGAATGTGACCATGGAGGGTTAAATGAGCAATAAATCAATAAATACTCTGACTTTTCTTTCCTGGTGGCCTCTGCTCTCCTTACATAACCTTTACATGGGCCTGACTCAACCAGAAGCCAGAGGGCAAGGGAGGTGGGATAATAAAGTAGAGAGGTCAGCCTTGCCTTGACACACACCAGGGCAAAGAAAGGACAGAGAATTGATGTGGAGGGGCAAAAAATAATGGCCAGCACAGTGGCAAAATTGGGATTAGAATTGTCTTGGATAAACTTAAGCTTCAATTCTTCTTTTTTTTTTTTAATTTTTTATTGGATTTTAGGTTTTGGGGTACATGAGCAGAGCATGCAAGACAGTTGCGTAGGTACACACATCAATTCTTCTTTTTTTTTGAGACAGTCTTGTTCTGTCACCCAGGCTGGAGTGCAGTGGCACGATCTCAGCTCACTACAACCTCCATCTCTCAGGTTCAAGCAATTCTCTGCCTCAGCCTCTTGAGTAACTGGGATTACAGGTGCCTGCCAGCACACCCAGCTAATTTTTTTGTATTTTTAGTAGAGATGGGGTTTCACCATCTTAGTCAAGCTGATCTTGAACCCCTGACCTCATGATCCACCCGCCTCAGCCTCCCTAAGTGCTGGGATTACAGACGTGAGCCACTGCGCCCAGCCCAGAGTTTCAATTCTTTTCCCAGCCTTGTTTAAAGGTAGAAAGCCCATTAGGAGTGATGAGGGCTTTCTACATCCTCGAATTAACCCTACATAAAATTATAGATTATCCAACTATACTCTTTGGTATCTGAGCAACCTGCAAAACTTTTTTCTTTAGAGACAGGGTCTTGCTCTGTCGCCCAGGCTGTATTGCGGTTGTATAATAACTCACTCTAACCTCAAACTCCTGGGGTCCAGCCATCCTCCCACCTCGACCTCCTAGAGCCTTGAGATTACAGGCATGAGCCAAGACGCCCAGCCCTCTTTAAAAAATAAAAAAGTGGGCTGGGAGTTGTGGCTAAGGCCTGTAATCCTAGCACTTTGGGAGGCCGAGGCGGGCGGATCATTTGAGGTCACGAGTTCAAGACCAGCCTGGCCAACATAGTAAAACCCTATCTCTACTAAAAATACAAAAATTAGCCGGGCGAGGTGGCAGGTGCCTGTAATCCAGATACTCGGGAGGCTGAGGCACAAGAATCGCTTGAACCCGGGAGGCGGAGATTGCAGTGAGCCGAGATCGCGCCATTGCATTACAGCCTGGGCAACAGAGGGCGACTCCATCTAAAAAAAAACCAACAGTATGTTTGTATACACACACACACACACACACACACACACACACACACACACATATATATACACTCAATGATAAGTGTCATGTGCAAGAGACAGACCGGATTTAGCTGTTCCAGAAATGAAGTCAGTAGAGAAAATCCCCACGGGCACCCTGGAATCCCTCTGAAGATGTTCAGATACAGGCCGCTCACTTCTTCCTGGAAGACTCACTCCTCCAATAGCACTTGGTGTTTAAGCAAGTGTCAATGGTCAAAGACCACTGCTCCCCTAGTACCTGTGGCACCGCACCCTGCGCACCTCCAGGTGGCCCAGGCTCCGCGGCCAATAGTAGTTACCACCCGCCAACCCAGCCCGAGTTAATATGAGATTGGGCGGCCGGAGGCACTGCGTGATTGGTGGGTAGGATGAGGGCGGGGCATCGCTCGAAAGCCCCCTCTGGATTGGTGCAAACTATCGGGGTGGGGCCTCCGCTCTGGCTGGGCGGGAAAGCTCTAACAGTGCTGCCGGGCTGGAGACGGTGGTAGCCGCTGCGCTCCGGCTGAGGGAACCGGAGACCACTCCATCCCTAGCGGAGCGCACTGTAGTCAGGAGTCATGACGGGCGAGGTGGGTTCCGAGGTGAGTTTATGCACACGCTTCTCACCGGGGCTGCGAGGGCCCGGCGCCGAGGGGTTAGGTAGGGCTGGGGTAGAGCCGGGGCTCCCGGCGTTCACTGCGTCCGCTCCCGCAGCCTCGCGACTCGGCCGGGAAGGTCTCTGAATGGGCGTCCCGTCCCGCCGTCAGGCTTCCGGTGCTTCGGACCCCTTGGCGGTGGAGCTCCAGGTCTCTGCGGCGCGCGGTGCCTGCAGCTCAGTCCATTTCTGCCGCCCGCCCAGCCCTTTGGCGCGTTTCCTGTCGCGGAAGCTCCTCCCCGCAGGGTACCCCGAAAACCAGGAGGCTCTGGCCGAACCGGGCCGCCAGGGTGCGGGGCGGGATTCTCGGCAAATAGAGGGCGAGAGTGTTATGTTAGGGAGCTCCACACTGGGCTTGGGAGCGGGCCTGGAGGTCATCTGGCGCTGGCCCTCCGCGCTTTCCGACGGGGCCCGGAGGGGGGAAGTCACAGTTGGGGCTCCTGGTTGGTGGCTGGCAGCTCTCTGGTGAAATTGGGCATAAAAACACACGTTTCCAGACCTGTGTCCTTTCTGGGGCCGGATTCGGGCAAGGCATTCTCTCCTTAGGAGCAAAATTTAAAGGAGTGCCAAAACCCTCAGTAATCAAATGAAACTCAGATTTTAATGCAATATTTAAAAAAAAAAAATTAATGCAAAGCATTTTATGATTTGCTATTGAACAAAATATCGGACGTTTGAACAAAGACAAGATCCAACCAGGCTCTTGCGGGACCCTGCCTCACTCACCTCACCCTAATCCCGCCCCTTGTTCCAATAAACTTATTTACAGAAGCGGGCGGCTGACCTCATGAGCCGTAGATTGTTGATATTTATTTATTTATTTATTTTTGGAGACAGCGCCTCACTGTGTGGCCCAGGCTGGAGTACAGTGGCTCCATCTTGGCTCATTGCAACCTCCTCCTCCCAGGTTCAAGTGATTCTCTTGCCTCAGCCTCCCAAGTAGCTAACATTACAGACGTGTGCCACCATGCCCAGATAATTTTTGTATTTTTAGTAGAGACGGGATTTCACCATGTTGGCCAGGCTGGTCTTGAACTCCCGACCTCAGGTGATATGCCCACCTTGGCCTCTCAAAGTGCTGGGATTACAGACGTGAGCCACCAAGTCTGGCCTCTGTCGATTTGACTTTTTTTTCTTTTTTATTATTGGCAGCGGTCTCATGGAGATTTAATTTTTTGAAAAATAATTGCATTAAAGTGTTACTTATTTTGATTACTGAATTTTTTGAGACCTGACCTTACCCTGTTCCTGGCCCTGCCCTTTGACATTGCTGCAAATTCCCTAGCAGAGAATCGTGATTAAAAGCAGCCCTATTCCTTAAGCTGTCTGGTTACCTAAAATTGGTTTCCACATTCACAAACAGAAGTAATAGTTTTACTGCTTTGAATTGTTGAGAGGATCATCAGTGCATACATGTTAATTCTCAGCAATCCCAGCGCTTTGGGAGGCCAAGGCGATCGGATTGCTTGAACTCAAGAGCTCAAAACCAGCCCGTGTAAGATACATGGCAAAACTCTGTTCCTACAAAACAAACATAAAAATTAGCCAGGTGTCTCATATGGTCCCAATTTTTCTGGAGGCTGAGGTGAGAGGGCCTGGGAGGTCAAGGCTGCAGTGAGCCATGATCCTGCTACTGCACTCTAGCCTGGGCGACAGAGTGAGACGCTGTATCAAAAAAAAAAAAAAAAATTGAATATCAAGCATTCAAATCAACTTAATAATTTTTTGAGAAGCCACTAGGGTGAGGCCTTGTGCCCTGTTAAATTACTGAAGCTCATATTTCTCTCTTTATTAATAAGTTGATTCAGAGCCCTAAGAACATCAAGGAGGTAGACTTGGCATTTAGGGTAGCTTGGTCACTAACTGATCAAGTCACCTAACATAACCCTGCTCCTTCGATTTTTATTTGTGACTTTTTATACTGTCTTATTTTCAAATCTATACAAACATGGAAAAGCTGGTATAATGAACCCATCATCTTACTTCAACTCCAGTTTTGAATATCTCTCATCTGAAATGCTTGGGACCAGAAGGGTTTTGAATTTCAGATTTATTTTGGATTCTGGAATATTTGCATACACATAATGATATGTCTTAGGGGAGGGACCCAAGTCTAAAAATGAAATTCAGTTATATTTCATATACACCTTATACACATAGTCTGAAGGTAATTTTATACAGTATTTTAAAATAACTTTGTGCATGAAACAAAGATTTTACTGCAACCCATCATAGGAGATCAGGTGTGGAATTTTCACCTAGTGGCATCATGTCAGTGATCAAATGTTTTGGATTTGGGAGGATTTCAGATTTTCAGAGTAGAGATGTTCAACCTGTATTATCAAATCATGACCAGTCTTGTTTCATTTATATCCCTACCCATTTTTCCTCTCACTGGATTATTTGGAAGAAAATTCCAGATACCATATTATTTTAACCATAAATATTTTAGTGTACATATCTAAAAGACAAGGGCTTTCCATAAAAGATAACTACAATATTATTACCACACCTAAGAAGTATCTAGTCAGTGTTTAGATTTCTTTGACTCATAGATATTTTTTATTTTTATATGCCACTTTAGCATAATTTTTTTATATTTTTAGTTTTTTGAATCATTTAAAGTTGGCATATTGCAATTGTTTGTATTAATATATATGTGTATATATACATATATGTATATATTTCAAGATATACATAAATATATGAGGCATACATATATGTATGTAGAAATATACATTACATATATGCATATAGAAATATACATGTGTGTATATATAACTATATAGAAATATACATACGTACACACACATATATATATTTGCTTGTGTATCAACTTTCTTTATGGGTCCCTCTCCCTCTCTTTTTTTTCTTTGCAATATATTGTTAAACTGGCTGGGCAAGGTAGCTCATGTCTATAATCCCAGCACTTGGGAGGCCAAGGCAGGTGGATCACCTGAGGTCAGGAGTTCGACTGGCGTGGCCAACAAGGTGAAACCTCGTCTCTACTAAAATACAAAAAACTAGCTGGGCGTGTTGGTGCATGTCTGTAATCCCAGCTGAGATTGTGCCACTGTACTCCAGCCTGGGTGACAGAGCAAGACTTCATCTCAAAAAAAGAAAGAAAGAAATTAAAAAGAAAGAAATCACTCAGTTTGACTTGTGGAGTTTCCCACATCTAGACTGCATCTCTGTGGTGTTATTCAACATATTCTCCTATTCCCTCTAGTTCCTGTAAATGGGTAGTTAGATCTAGAGACTTGATAGGATTCAGAGTTGATTGTTTTGTCAGGAATACTTTATAGCTAGCATTGGGTACTTCTATTGGGCAGCACATACTGTCTGGTTGTTTCTCTTTTGATGATGTTAGCAGCCATTAATGATAATTGCCTAGGTCTGTTTAATAATTAAAGGTTGATAAAATTGTGATATTCTAATTCGATTATTTCCTCATTGATTAGGATATTTCTCTAATCAATGAGAAACTTTCCCTCATCAGTCATTTGGATATTTTGGGGAATAGTTCACACAGATCGAAGTCATAATAAATGCTGGATCTTTTCATTTTTTTTTATCATTCCTCAGAGTTGGTTCTGTTATCATCCTTCAAAGGTGAAAAATGAGTTTGTTGTCCAGTAATTCTAAATGTCACCCCTTCAAGGAACCATTATATTTGATTCTTTCCTTAGTTCAGGTTGATTATCTCATGATGATTTACGTGTCATTATGTACTTGGAGCTTTCGGTCACCTGCTGGTTAACACAAGTAATTGTCATTTTCTAGGTTCAACTAGAAGTCAACAATCCAAAAGTCATTTCACAAGAGGAAGCAGATAGTCCTTCAGATAGTGGACAAGGCAGCTATGAAACAATTGGACCCTTGAGTGAAGGAGGTTTGTAATAGTATTTTTATTTTTAGGAATAGGATGTAAGAACCTTGGTTGTAAGTAGATTGGATTAATTTCATCATTCTTGATTTATTACATTATTAATTTCCCTTCCTTATTGTTTGTTTTACTATAAAAGCAAAATAACAGTGCTTGTACCTTTTTGAAACCATGAATTTCTTTTATATTGTTGAATGTCTAATAGCTACCACATTGCCTGGTTAACTGCCTTCATCCTATAGTAAAAGGAATTTTAACACCTGCTAGAGGATTAGAACAACTTTACATGTTGTAAATATATATAAAATTACATTTCTCAGTAAGAGACATTTTTTTCAGGGAAAATGTTTTTCAAAATGTATTTTTAGATTTGCTTTGCTACACTCAGTTCTTAATAGTAGTTAGATGATTTCACAATGTAATATATCACTTGTATAACTAAATTTATTTTTGAGGAGTAATGGGATTAGGAGAAAGATCACATGATTATATAATTTGAAAAAAATGTTTCCTTCAGATTCAGATGAAGAGATATTTGTAAGTAAGAAGTTGAAAAACAGGAAGCTTCTACAAGACAGTGATTCTGAAACAGAGGACAAAAATGCCTCTCCAGAGAAAACTACCTATGACAGTGCTGAGGAGGAAAATAAAGAGAATTTATATGCTGGGAAAAATACAAAAATCAAAAGGATTTACAAAACTCTGACAGACAGTGATGAAAGTTACATGGAGAAATCTTTGTATCAGGAAAATCTTGAAGCTCAAGTGAAACCTTGTTTAGAGCTGAATTCTGGAAATTCTATGGACTTTACCACTGACAGAAAGAGTTCCAAAAAGCAGACACATGATAAAGAAGGAACTGAAGAAAAAGCAAAAGTAAAATCCAAAAGAAGAGTTGAGAATGAGGAGAGAAAAATGGAAAAAATTCGACAGCTAAAAAAGAAGGAAACAAAAAATCAGGTACATTTTAAAGAATAATTTGCTATTGCTCGGATACATTAACATTTTAGAAGAGGTTGCTGTTAGTACTTGAGGTTGTTTCTACTCTCCAAATATTGCTTTGAATTGGCTATTTTGTGTTGAGAATAGGGTATGTAATTTAAAGTAACTGGTCTTGGCCAGGTGCAGTGGTGCATGCTTCTAATCCCAGCACTTTGGGAGGCCGAGGCCAGAGGTTCACTTAAGCCCAGGAGTTCAAGACCAGCCTAGGCAATAGTGTGAGATCCTGCCTCTACAAAAAATTTAAAAATTAGCTGGGTGTGGTAGCTGTAGTCCCAGCTGTAGTCCCAGCTACTTGGGAGGTTGAGGTAGAAGAATCACTTGAGCCCAGGAGGTCGAGGCTGCAATGAGCTGTAATTGTACGACTGCACTCCAGCCTGGACGACAGAGTGAGACCTTGTCTCGAACAACAACAAAAACTTATTGGTCTTATTCTGTATTTTGTGTATACAGAGGACATTTCCAAATAAATAGGTTTCTGATTTTCTTTATGAGCCCGTGGAGTAATTCTTTGCTGCCTCTGATCTGATGGAAGTTAACTTTGAAAGAAGGCTTTTTTATGCATCTATCAGTCAGAATTCTTGTTTGCTAACTAGAAAAACCATCCTTGAGTTTATAAACTAATTGCTTAATAAGTATTTGACTTTTCTAAAAAGAAGTTTATTAAGTTAGTTTTGGACAGTTGCATAAAATCACCACTTGGACTTCAAAGGATAACTGTGAGTTAGGAACCAGTGAGAATGTTCTAGATTTTATATGCTTGTCTGTTGATGAAACATGGGCTTTTTCCGGCCTGATCCAAACTGCCATATGATGTTGTGAATAGTGGATTTTGAAATGATTGGATTATGTTTTTGTTTATGTGTTACCTAGGAAGATGATGTAGAACAGCCATTTAATGACAGTGGCTGTCTTCTTGTGGATAAAGACCTTTTTGAAACTGGGTTGGAGGTTGAAAATAACTCTCCATTGGAAGATGAAGAATCATTAGAATCAATAAGAGCAGCTGTGAAAAACAAAGTAAAAAAGCACAAGGCAAGTAAAGTATGATTGCAGGAAGAGTTAACCAACTGTTACTGACCTTTGCTATATTTTTAATTTACTGTTGTAACCTTAATTTTTTTTTTAACTGAAGAAAAACATGTGTCAATTGATTTAAGTTTTTCAGCTGTTAATTTTGGAAACTTGCAGTACAAGTGATAGACATGCTAACTTCTTTGGAAACTAGCACTTTGTTATTACCCTTTTAGGAATGTTGGAAAAAAAAGTAAGATACTTGATAGTGTAGTAAGATGCAGGTACATAACAGGGAAGAGAGATAAATTTTGCAATCCTATGACCTTTGAGAAATAAACTCTATAGGGTTTCAGAAAGCGTATCAAAGAGAGGCATCAGTCAAAACATTGTTGTCCCGAGTGTTTGGAAGCATACTTTTTCTTCCTAAGATTTTTTTCTTTAGCTTCCTGGGAGTCATTATCCCTCTTTAGGGAAAGATATAAGCAGAGGTAAAAGAAATAAGGGTCCAAACTCCATTTGAGATATCTAATTTGTTTTCTAAACATAATAGAATGCTGTGTGTTTAATAATTTCTATTTGATGATGATTGATTTAATGTAGATTTATTATTTTCTTTAACTTTTGTTGTTGGACTACAAAAGTAGTCTTTAACTAAAGCATCCTCTTATTTGAATTTTGTTTTTGTCTTAATAATCAACCTGCCATTTCTTTTAGAAAAAAGAACCATCTTTGAGGAGTGGGGTTCATTCATTTGAGGAAGAAAGTGAGTTATCAAAAGGAACCATGAAGAAGGTGAGGTAAAGCCCTGTATATTAGTCACATTGCTCTCTTTACACAGTAGATTATTGGTTTCTCAGGGATAAAGATTTTATTTGGTCTATCATGTTTTTCTGTTACCCATCGTATTGCTTTGAACAGAGTAGGAACACAAATATGAATTGCATTGAACGAATTCTCTGAGACTTGGGAATAAGTGAGTTCCTTGACTATACTGCATTTAGGCTTACTTGTGCTTACTATTATTTCCTCTCCTCTTTTCTTGGAGAGAGCAAACTCTTGAGAGATGAATATCTATCTTTCTGGATATTCATATAATTAATGTAGTCTTACTTTTCGTTTTCTTTAAGGAAAGAAAGGCAGCCAAGTTAAGTAAAGAAGCATTAAAACAACTGCATAGTGAGACTCAGCGCCTTATTCGAGGTAATGCAACTCAGTAAACTTTGAGGGAAAGTGACAGTATTTCTTTGTAAGCTCAACTTGGAGACTTTTTTTTTAACACTCCTAATGTGAACTCAGGTTATAATGTCAAGTTTAAAATTGATCTTGGTGAATGGCCATTGTTCTAAAGCCCTTGGAACATTGGTATAAACTGAAGAAATTTTCAGAACCGTAGTGGAAGTAAGGAGGACTTTTTTTTTTTTTTTGAGACAGAGTCTTGCACTGTTGCCCAGGCTGTAGTGCAGTTGCACGATCTCGGCTCACTGCCATCTCTGCCTCCCGGGTGTCAAGCAATTCTCCTGCCTTGGCCTCCCGAGTAGCTGGGACTACAGGCATGCACCACCACGCCCAGCTAATTTTTTTGTATTTTTAGTAGAAACGGGGTTTCACCATGTTGGCCGGGATGGTCTCAATCTCCTGACCTTGTGATCATCCCACCTTGGCCTCCCAAAGTGCTGGGATTACAGGTGTGAGCTACTGCACCCGGCCGGAGGAAATTTTTTAATGGTTGTCTGTGGACTGATTGTGTCAGGATTCTTTTGAGAGGTAGTAATCCCCCCTTATTTGCAGTTTTGGTTACCTGTGGTCAGCCATAGACCATGGAATTTAAAAATATCATCCCTTTATCCAGTGTATCATGCTCTATATGCTACCTACCTGTTAGTTAGTAGCCCTCTCAGTCATCAGATCAAAAAAACACTGCATGGTTTGATACTATCCACAGTTTCAGGCATCCACCACAGATCTTGGAATGTATCCCTGTGGATAAGGTGGGGCTACTGTATATACATTTTTAGGCCCCACAGAGATTCTGATTCAGTAGATTTGAAATGGGATCCAAGAATCTGTATTTGTAAAACACTTCCTGGATCGTTTTGATTTCACAGCTAGGTTTAAAAGCCACTGGTCTTTAAGGAGTTCTTTTGTACTTAGCTCTTGCCTTTGTTCAAGGGGAGTTTTCTATTTCTAGTGATGGCTTTGGTTATTATGTTTGGTTAACTGAATATGTAGTGACATCTTAGAATATATAGTATATATATTTGCTTGTTTTATTTCCTTTTATAGAGTCTGCACTTAATCTTCCATATCATATGCCTGAGAATAAAACCATTCACGATTTCTTCAAACGTAAACCCCGGCCCACTTGCCAGGGAAATGCCATGGCACTATTGAAGTAAGAACCCTCTTTCCTTATGATTATAATTTTCATGAACTTTCAGTTTTGTAGCAAACATATGGGATAAAAAGTTCAGATTTCTTACTCCCTTAAAACTGATTTAACTGATTTATTATATGCTATGGGATGAGAATGTTTCATATTTAGGATAATTTTCAACTCCAGCTCATTTTCTCTTCTCTAGGTCATCTAAATATCAGTCAAGCCATCACAAAGAAATCTTAGACACTGCAAATACTACTGAAATGAACAGTGATTACCATAGTAAAGGTTCTGAGCAGACAACAGGTACAGAAAATGAAGTGGAAATTAACGCACTCCCCGTGGCGTCAAAGGAAACTTGGATCACTACTGGATCAGATGAGTCTTGCAGGAAGGATTTGGTAGAAAATGAAGAGCGAGAAATTCAGGAGAAACAGAAGCAGAGTGACATTAGATCTTCACCTGGGAACAGCTCAGTGTTGCAACAGGAATCCAACTTCCTTGGGAACAATCACAGCGAGGAATGTCAGGTTGGAGGGCTTGTAGCATTAGAACCTCATGCCCTGGAGGGCGAAGGCCTCCCAAAACCAGAAGAAACAAATGAGAAAGTGGAAGAGCCTGGGCAGCAAAGTAAATCATCAGTAGTTGTGGCCCCAGAAAAAGTGAGACGGTTTACTCTGGATAGACTTAAGCAACTGGGAGTAGATGTTTCCATTAAACCACGGCTAGGTGCTGATGAAGATTCCTTTGTGATACTTGATGAACCTGAAACCAACAGAGGTAATCCTTTCAATTGTGGGGAGCCTCCCTGGAGTGATTCTCCTGGCAGCTTTTGATTGTTGGCCACTGTTGGGGACAGAGAACACAGGAGAAACCAATAACCACATGTGATCTTATCCTACATTTTTTCCAGATATGGGCAAAGTCCCTTTTAGAGAAATTTGGCAGGGCATGTAAGAGTAAATGAGTATAGTGAATTTGAGCAGTTAGACAGAAAACATTAGAAACAGACTTTTTGAAGTGTGGTTTAAGTAGCAGGGGCAACTGCATAAAGGTGGAGAAGGCAAGAGGCTGAAAGTTTGTGAGGTGTAAAAAGAAAACTTTGGAGGTTGTGAGAGCTGGAGGGTAAATGGGGCATAGCCTGTGATTTTGAGGGATTTTAAGAGTATTAGAGTGGCAGCTGCTGCTGTGTGTTGTCATGAGGGCCAGCCCAGGGCTGTTAGGTTAAGCTGTTTGGATAAAAGGGCTACAGGCGGTGGGCCTGGCTCCTGTGTAAGAATCCCAACCGCACAGTCCTGGATTTTAGTAGTGTATAATGAAAAGTGTTGAGACAAGTTGGGGAGAGCTAGGGAGGGAGCAGTTTTTAGAGCTGTTTTTAAGGAGTGAGGAAAGGATTTAGGATTAATAGCGTTGGTAAGTTTTCTTTAGTGGGTTTATACAATGACTTAGTTAGAATAGCAAAACTATCCAGAGGTGAAAGTAGCAACCACATCCTGGAAAGAGAGAAGATGTTGTTTGGTAGACGGGGTTGGGGTTTAGGAAATTAACTGGATACGGTTGGCAGGGAGAGTGCATGTGTGCTGGTGAAAGATTATAACAGATGGGGAAGAAATTTGTGCTTTGGAAGGGGATACATGATACTTCTTTGTGTACAGATGCTGAAGAAGCAGGAAGGTGAATTAAAAGGCCATGGTACAAGAGATGGGTGATAAGAGGCTTACACCTTTTAAAGCCTGTTGTGGGATGAGGTACTGGGGCTGGGCAGGGTAAGAGTGGTTAGGTTTTAAAGGGATGATGAGGGGTGAGTGACTTGTAGCAACAGATGGGAAGGTGGTGTTTGACACCCTAGGATTAAGGTGGGGGGACATAAGGGGAACTATTGAGGGAGGTATGGGTTCAGGGAAGAGGGAGGCAATGAGGTGTGGCTGTAGCCCAGGAATAGTTAAGGAGGCAGGCAATTTTGCTAGGATATCTTGGCCTAACAGGGGAACTGGTCAAGTGGGGATGATTAGGAAAGAATTTGGAAGGACTGCGGGCCTAATTGACACCAGACTTGGGGAGTTTTGAGAGGCCTGGAGGCCTTGCCATCAATTCCCACAACAGTTATGGAGACCAAGGAGACAGGTCCTTGAAAAGAGGGCATTGTGGAGTGGGTGGCCTCCATGTTGATTAAGAAGGGGATAGACTTACCCTCCACCATAAGAATTACTCGAAATTCGGTGTCCGTGATGGTCCAGGGGTCTTCCGAGATACTTGGGCAGTGTTAGTCTTTAGCAGCCAAGCTGAGGATTGGAGCTTCAGGAGCTCTGGGAGCAGTGATGTGAATCAGAAAGTTGACTTTCTGTGGGGGCTCTGCACAGATGGGGCAGGGCTTAGGAGGAATCCCCGGCTGTGGGCATTCCTCGGCCCAGTGACCAGGTTTCCCACACTTGAAGCAAGGCCCAGGAGGGACAGCTGGATGTGCTGCAGTCTGGGCACTTTGAAGTCTTTGTGAGCCGGTAGTGTGGCTGGGGTTTGTCTTATGGCAGAGGTAAGCATCTGTAGTTCTGAGATGCGCTGCCACTGGGCAGATTTTTCCCTATTATCGAACACTTTGAAGGTGAGGTTGCTTAATTCCTGTTGTGGGGTTTGAGGACCAGATTTTAATTTCTGTACCTTTTTGTAATGTTAGGGGCTGATTGGGTGATAAAATGCGTATTAAGTGTTTTTTTAGGGGTGAGAGTAGAAGTAAGGATGACATTTAAATTACTCCAAGTGAGATTATAGGACTGGGTTAAGTATTGGAGAATTTGATGAAAAGGAGCCTAACCAGTGGCCAATTTGGGAAAAGTTGGACAAAGAGAAAGGAATGTGCACCTTACCTATGCCTTTGGCTCCAGCCACCTCTGGAAGGAGGAATTGTTGGGGAGGGGCAGAGGAGGTAGCCATAGGACTAGACTAAGCTGGGCCAAGTATGAGGTAGGGAGGTGACAGGAGAGGCATAAGGAAGTGGGTTATGGGCAGAGGAAGAGGAGGAAGGCTTTGAGGGGTGAGGTTAGGTCCTGGATTAGGGCCTGGTTCAGACAGGTGGGGAGGAGAAAGGTTGGAAGGGTTGATGGACAAGGAAGATTTTGGCTTACTGGCAGAGGAAGGAGGGACAGATGGTAGAGAAGAGAAGGAGTAGAGATTAGGGAGGGATTGGTGTGTAAAAAAATGCCTGGACATAGGGAATTTCAGGCCATTTTCCTGTGTTGTGACAAAAATTGTCTAAATCTTGTAAAATAGGGAGGTTGAAGGTGCCATTTTTTGGCCAATTGGAGCCGTTGTTTAACTTGTATTGTGGCCATGCAGTATTTCAGAAGATGATGAGATGTTTGAGTTTTTAGGTCAGGAGACAGTTGAAGAGGCTTGAGGTTTTTTAGAACACTGGCCAGCAGAGAGGAGGAAGGGATAGAGGATGGACGATTGCCCTTGGTTCTAGAAAGACAGCAGACAAGGAAAATGGGCAACAACCCAGCCGCTTTTGTCTTTCCCTTTCCACTTCCTCCCCATGAAACCAAAAGAGGGAGGAAGTGGAAAGGGAAAGACAAAAGAATGGGAAAGCAAAAAAGAGAAACTGCTTACCAAAATAGCCAGTGGTGTGCATCTGTGGGCAGGTCCGATGACCCCAGGTTGTTAGGTAGATCTCTTCATGGAGGGAGTACAAGAACAGAGACAGGGGTTTGGTCTCCCACAGGAGTTCCCCTGTCCTGGGTTTTGACACCAAATATTAAAAATGTGGGCTTTGAATGAAGAGACCCCTCCCCAAACAGGTTTTGTGTGAGCAACATGGCTGTTTATTCACCTGGGTGCAGGTGGGCTAAGGCAGAAAAGGACATTAGTAAAGGGCAGTGGGATAGGAGTTGGTTTTATAGGTTTAGGGTGGGCAGTGGAAAGTTACAGAGTAAGATCAGTTACAGTGGTGGGGGTAGGGGCAAGGGGCATACATTACCATAAGTTCAGTTACAATGGCGGTGGGGTAAGAGTGTTATAATAACAGTTAAAATGGCAAGGTTGGGTGAGAAGGTCTGGGGAAGCTCTGCTGGGCCACTAGGGACAATGGCAAACGCAGGTAGGGGATGGGAGATGATTAGCTGAGGCAAGCAGGACTTCAGACTTTCAGGCTCCAGGCTTGCATATGGAGACCTAACAAGAGGGTCACTTGAGTCCAGGAGTTTAAGGGCATCCTGGGCAGCATATGAAAGCCCATCTAAGAAAGAAAAGAAAAAGAGAAAGAGGAGGGATGGAAGAAGTGGGGGAGAGAGAGAGAGAGAGAAAGAGAGAGCAAGCAAGCAATGGCTTGGTTGTGGGCTATGTGAAGATTTGTTGAAATAATGCATGCAAATGGATAGTATGCACTCAAAAGCACTCAAAAAGTGGTTGCTGCTTCTACTATTATTAGTGAAATGGTTCACATCAAGACTTTTTTTTTTCTTTTGAGATGGAGTTTTACTCTCTCTTGTCACCCAGGCTGGAGTGTAATGCTGTGATCTCAGCTCACTGCAACCTCCACCTTCTGGGTTCAAGCAGTTCTCCTGCCTGAGCCTCTTAAGTAGCTGGGATTATAGGCCCCCACCACTACACCCAGCTAATTTTTGTATTTTTAGTAGAGGCAGGGTTTTACCATGTTGACCAGGCTGGTCTCGAACTCCTGACCTCAGGTGATCTGCCTGTTTTGGCCTCCCAAGTGCTGGGATTACAGGCATGAGCCACCTCACCTGGCCAAGTCTCTTTCATTAAACCAGGCTTATGCCTGTAATCCTAGCACTTTGGGAGACTGAGGTGGGTGGATCACTTGAGCCCATGAATATACATATATATTTTTTCTTTCATTAAACAGTTTATTGTTGTCAGGTGCTATGTCAGCCACTATATCTGGTGTGTAAAATATGCTCAGTGAATCTGTTAATTGAACGGGTTGACTTTGGAGATGGAGAGGATAGAAAGAACACCTTGTCTCAGAGAAAAAAACATACACACACAAGATTCTCTTTCATTAAACAGTTTATTGGCAGGTGCTATGTCAGTCACTATATCTGGTATGTAAAATATGCTCAGTGAGTCTGTTAATTGAATGGGTTGACTTTGGAAATGGAGACAAAGAAAGAGCTCTGCATGGTGTGTAATGGGAAGATGTGAAAGTCAGTTTGACCAGGGCTGGAGGTTGTGTTGGCAGAGTTGGCAGAACTAGCATAGCTTCGTTAGCAAAGAAGCGTGAGAGTGAGCTGTGGTCTGGAACACCGAGGGAAAGATTTTGTTATATGGGACTAAAAGTTACCTAAACAGTCCTAGACTGATAGGAAAGGGAGAAACCTTTTTTGAGTACCAACTATATTAGACACTGGTGCATTCTTTATTAGTTATTAGTTGTCTTTCTTAATTCTTAATAGCCCCGGGTATTATTTTGCAAAATGAAGAGTCTGAGGCTCAGAGAGGTTAGGTAATTTTTCCAACATTATATTTGGCTTATAAAGGGACCTAGCACAGTGCCTGGCACATGTTAAGCACTTATTTTTTTAAGTTGGAACATATTTTCCTTTAGAAATAACTGACATGGGCCAGGCATGGTGGCTCACGCCTGTAATCCCAGCACTTTGGGAGGCCGAGGTGGGCAGATCACAAGGTCAGGAGTTCAAGACCAGCTTGGCCAACATGGTGAAAGCCCTTCTCTACTAAAAATACAAAAATTAGCTGGACGTGGTGGTGTGTGCCTGTAATCCCAGCTACTCTGGAGGCTGAGGCAGGAGAATTGCTTGAACCAGGATCCGAGAGGCAGAGGTTGCAGTGAGCCGAGAGTGGGCCACTGGGCTCCAGCCTGGGTTACAGAGCAAGACTCCATCTCAAAAAAAAAAAAAAAATTAGTCAAGCATGGTGGCGCACACCTGCAGTCCCAGCTACTTGGGAGGCTGAGGCAGAAGAATCGCTTGAACCTCGGCGGCAGTTGCAGTGAGCCTAGATCGCACCACTGCACTCCAGCCTGGGTGACAGAGCAAGACTCCATCTCAAAAAGGAAGAAAGAAAGAGAGAAAGAAAGAAAGAATTGACATGAAATTGGAGTTTTCAGACCAGCCATAATATACATGAAGTTAGAATCAATACTCATTCATTGATGCAATAAATTTTATTTAGCACTGTGTTGGGTGCTGTGCATATAGGTAAAACACTCCCTGCTCTCAAAGAAATTAAAGTGTAATAGGAGTGATAGGCAGGCAAACAGACCATACAATACTGGTCTGTGCTATGATCAAGGTATGTAGTTGAGGGTGTACTGGGAAACTAGAGGAAGGGTACCTTACTTGGAGCCTAGAAATCAGGGAAGTTTCTGAAAGGAACTCAGTAGAGATACTAAGGCAGAGGGGTGAGGGAGGGCTTTTTTGGTGGAGGAGTTGGACCTGCGAATGTCAGACAATAGAAAGCACAGGGTGTTCTGACTGACTGAAGTGAAGATAGCAAGGACATTGGTCATCAAAGCCCAGATCATTCAGGATTTTTATGCTGTGCTAGGAGTTTGGGCTTCAGCTCTTTGTAAGTAGAGGAACATTGAAAGGTTTTCAGCAAAGGAAATGTTTGGTCAGATTCTCATTTTAGGAAGTTAAATCTGGTAGCTGGTGTGCTGGATGCATTGGAAGGGGTTAAAAACAGTGGGAACAGCTCAGTTTCCTTACCTCATATAGAATAAGGTTTCCATAAGAAAATGCATATAAATTTAAATTTTTTGATGTCAGAAATACATTACTTTTGTTGCTTGCAATAGCATATGGAATAATTTCTGCCTCTAATTCCTCTGCTTTCTGGACAAGAGCAATGTGAATGAGAGCAGTTCTCATGCTGCTGGTAGAGACAAACTAGAGCAGAGACTTTTCACTTAAGAAAGGAGATGAGAGGTGATGGACTAATGGAGACTAATGGAGGGAGAGGAACTTGAACAGAAATTTTAGGATGAAGACATTGATGGTTGTGTCATGTAATAAAGGCCAAAGAAAATGGTTGATCCAATGGGTTGGGGGAGGAAGAGCTTTGAGGATCCTAGCTTTCTCCAGTTATGAAATGAAGGTACCTCTTGCCTCACTGCTATTTTAAGTCCCAGGTAATCTTCCCACCCAACCATTTCTTTTACTCTAGAGGCATCCATAATAACCTGCCTATTTCTGTTCCCTTTTCCCTTCCACCACCTATTACTTTCAACTTTACTAAACCACTGCAAAATAGGCAGACTTAACAGCTTGTCTCTCTACTCTTTTGTTTGCCATGTAAATGTAACATCCTTTAGAGTTGGGTTTTTGCTGCTGATAATGTTGGGGACCTCAGGATAAAAAGATTTCCTTCATTTTTCTCTTTTTCTAGCAAGACCCTCTAGGGGAAAAAAAATCTAGATGCTAGTCACAAAATACTGGAGTATGATTTGAGTGCATTTTTAAAAACCAAAGTTTCATGCCTATAGTCCCTGAACTTTGGGAAACTGAGGTGGGAAGATTGCTTTGAGGCCAGGCGTTTGAGACTAGCTTGGGCAACATAGCAAGTTCCTGTCTCTACAAAAAAATTAAAAAGACAGGTGTGGTGACATGCACCTGTAGTCCTAGTTACTTGGGAGGCTGAGGTAGAAGGAATGCTTAAACCCAGGAGGTCAAGGTTGCAGTGAGCTGTGACCACACCATTGCACTCCAGCCTGAGCAATAGAGCAAGAAGACCCTGTCTCTAAAAAGAAAAATGTAAAGTGGCTGGGTATGGTGGCTCACACCTGTAACCCTAGCACTTTGGGAGGCTGAGGAGGGTGGATCACATCAGTCTAGGAGTTCAAGACCAGCCTGGGCAACAGGGCAAAAACCTGTCTCTAAAGAAATACAAAATTTGGCTGGGCATAGCGGCTCACACCTGTAATCCCGGCACTTTGGGAGGCTGAGGTGGGCAGATCACCTAAGGTCAGGAATTCAAGACCAGCCAACATGGTGAAACCCCGTTCCTACTAAAAATATAAAAAAATTAGCTGGGCATAGTGGCACTCTCCTGTAATCCCAGCTACTCAGGAGGCTGAGGCAGGAGAATCACTGGAACCTGGGAAATGGAGGTTGCAGTGAGCTGAGATCGCATCTCTGCTCTCCAGTCTGGGCAACAGAATGAGACTCCGTCTCAAAACAAAAACAAATAACAACAAATAGGGAATTTTAAAAAGGAGACTAAAACCCATGGAAAATTAATAGTTGAGATTTGTTATATATTTTTCCTATCAGTTTAATACTTTTAAAGAATGTTTAAAGAATGTTCAAGAGAATTGCACATATTTGGAAATTTCAGATATAAATTTCTGTCTTAAAAGTCTGATTTTTGAAACGTTGAGGAAGAATTGTTGGAACAGTCCATTAGTTTGGGTTAAGTTGTAAGAATTTGACTCAGTAGTTAGTAGTAGCAAGGGATTTTTTTATGTCTCTGTGTTTGTGGTTTTCCTCATCATTGTTCAGCTAAAAAAACTTAGCTTATAAGTCTTAAAGGAAAGAGTTCTGAGCATGGCAAACTGACACACTGGTTGGTGTTTGGGTTTAGAACTGGAAGCCTTGAAGCAGCGTTTCTGGAAGCATGCTAATCCAGCAGCCAAACCCAGGGCTGGTCATACAGTGAATGTGAACGTCATAGTGAAAGACGTGGGCACTGATGGAAAGGAAGAGCTAAAAGCAGATGTGGTATCTGTGACTTTGGCACCTAAGAAGCTGGAAGGAGCAAGCCACACAAAACCAGGTATTTGAGCCCACAGGTTTTGTTTTTTGGTTTTTGCTTTGTATTCTAGCAGATCTTCATAGCTATTGAAAACCTTATAATGAAAAGTTATAGAATATTTTTCCTTGGAGACTTTGGACAGGAGTATCTCTGCCATGATTCACGTGTAGCACACCTAGAGGTGTGGGGTGGACAAGCTGACTTTGTTTTTTCAAATATCATTTGTCTTATAAAAAATAATAAATATTCATTATAGAAAAATATATAGAATAAACAAAAAACTTAATCTATCAGAGACAGGTTCTATAACCATATTGTGTATCCTTTTAAACTCTCTTCTTTGCACATATGTATATGTATTTAAACAAAAACAAACAAAAACAGGGCCGGGTGCAGTGGCTCACACCTGTAATCTTAAAACTTTGGAAGGCCAAAGCAGGAGGATCACTTGAGCTCAGGAGTTCGAGACCAACCTGGGCAACATAGTGAGCCCTCATCTCTACAAAAAAAAAAAATTATCCAGACATGGTGGCATGCACGTGTGGCCCTAGATACTTGGGAGGCTGAGACGGGAGGATAACTTGAGCCAGGAGGTTGAGGTTGCAATGAGTCATGATTGTGGCACTGCACTCCAGCCTAGGCAACAGAGAGAGATCCTGTCTCAAAAAAACCCAAAACAAAACAACCCACCTAATAATGTGATCATAACATGCATTCTGCTTTGTAATATACTTTTTGTTTTAAAAATGTATTAAGGACAGCTCTTGCCCCTACCTTGAAATCATAAGTAATGTATCACATGGAAAACAGTTTTAAACACAGAAAAAAAAGGTATTAAATGAAAAATTAGTCTTCCCAAAGATAACTATTAACAATTTCTTATGTGTCCTTACGTGTATTTTTTCTTGTGTGTATTTTTATGCATGTACCATTTTTTGTGAATGTGTGTAGCACTGAACATTTACTTCCTGTCAGGCATTGCTCTAGGTGCTTTCTATGTTTTATCTCATTTAATCCTTACAACCCTATGAGGTAAATAACATTAGTATCTTTATTTTGTATATGAAGAAACTGATATGCAGAGCACTTAAGCCATTTGCCCAAGTTTACACAGCTAATAAATGGTAGGACCAGTGGTCTAATCCAGACCACCTAACTCCAGAGCTCAGATCCACCTTATGTTGTTTTTAAGGCTTTTCTTAAATGGCCACATAATATTCCATTGAATGAATACAACACGATTCATTAAAGTTCCAGTTTTTGCTATTGCATACCAGTGTTACATGATAGTACCAGATATATGTTGGTAGTTGCAAAATTCCTTACAGTAGAATTGTTGTGATATATATCACATTCTGATATATGTCATCCAGTTGTGTTTCAGAATGGTTCTACTCTGAATCACAGTGTATGAGTTCCTATTTCCTCTTGTTAATAATTGGTATTATCAAACCTAATTTTTGCCGAACATGTTGAAAATGGTATCTCATTATTTTGATTTGGAGCTCTTTAATTAGCAGTGAGGTTAAGCATTACTTTTAATTTGTTTATCAACAATATATGTTTATTTTTATGTGCACTGCCAGTTCATATCATTTACCCATTTTACGCCTGAGTTGTTTCTCTTTTTCTTTAACACAGGTAAATTTATCAGTGTTTTTCTTCATGGCTTTTGGGCCACAGACTTTTGAAGCTCCACTCCCTAACCCCCTTTTTTCTCTTTTGAAGCTCCACTCCCTAACCCCCTTTTTTCTCTTTTGAACAATGATTTTATAATCCCTGAGTAGTATACTTTCCCAGGGAGCAGAAGTTCTCTTTGATACTTCAATTCATAATCCTCATGTACTCAAATAACAAAAAAGCCCAGAATACTAAGGTCTCAGATTTTCCTTTTGGGATGTGACTAGAATACTTCTGGAGGTACCTAAAATGCATACTTAATTGTATTATGTCTAGAGCATTTCTACATATTTCTGTTCAGGTGAAAAGCTTCAGGTGCTAAAAGCTAAACTGCAAGAGGCAATGAAACTCCGAAGGATTGAGGAACGCCAGAAGCGCCAAGCACTGTTTAAATTAGATAATGAAGATGGGTTTGAGGAAGAAGAGGAAGAAATGACAGATGAGTCTGAGGAAGATGGAGAAGAGGAGGTAGAGAAAGAAGAGGAAGAGGAGGAGAAAGAAGAGGAAGAAGGAGGAAATCAGGAGGTTTCTGGCAATTATTTTGTTTTGTTACTTGGTCATGGCGAATATGAGAGAAAAAGTCAGATTTGAATAAGTATAATAAGCATGTTCAATTGTATAAGAGGTTTTGGGGCATGGCAAGGGCAACTACCTCATATATGCCTAAATCTTAATACATTTAGTTCTGTCACTACCATTGAATATCTTTAGATGTTGAATATGATTATTCATATTCAACCATTGAATTGATTATTATATATCAATACAGATATTCAGTGGTACTGACAGAATACCATTGGCTTGGCTTCCACCTGTTTGTTTATATGTTTTAATATAATAATGCTAATATTAAAAATGGCTTTGTATTAGCAGGAAATTTTATCTTTGTTGTTTATTTAGGTTTCTCTATCAGATTAAAAAACAGTCTTAACCTTGGCCAGATTGAGGTCTAGAGTAAATTCTCAAGGAGGCAGAGGTCTTTCTGAGTTATTTTCATTCTTTGTTGAAGAAGGCATTTGTAGAAGAGCCTCTTGCCCTTATTCCATAGTATTGTTTTCTGACTGGGGAAGACAGGTGATGATAACAATTGTTAAGTATTAAAAGCTTTCCTTTTGGGGCCTTGTGCAGTGACTCATGCCTGTAATCCCAGCACTTTGGGAGGCTGAGGTAGGCAGATCATCTGAGGTCAGGAGTTTGAGAATAACCTGGCCAACATGGTGAAACTCCATTTCTACTAAAAATACAAAAATTAACTGGGTGTGGTGACACACCTGTAATCCCAGCTACTCGGGAGACTGAGGCAGGAGAATTGCTTGAACTTGGGCAGTGAAGGTTACAGTGAGCCGAGATTGTGCCACTGCATTCTAGCCTGAGTGACAGAGTGAGACTCATCTCCAAAAAAGGTGGGGGGAAAGCTTTCCTTTTTGTATGCTGGGATCACTTGAGTTAATTTTATTTATTTATTTTTATTTTTTTAGAGAAGAGGGTCTCACTATGTTGACCAGGCTGGTCTTGAACTCCTGGCCTCAAGCGTTCCTTCCATTGTTGTGACCACCCAGAGTGCTGAGCCACCATGCCCAGCAACTTGAATTAATATTTAATTTGGGGTAGCTGGGCGCGGTGGCTCACGCCTGTAATCTCAGCACTTTGGGAGGCCGAGGCGGGTGGATCACGAGGTCAAGAGATCGAGGCCATCCTGGTCAACATGGTGAAACCCCATCTCTACTAAAAATGCAAAAAATTAGCTGGGCATGGTGGCACATGCCTGCAATCCCAGCTACTCAGGAGGCTGAGGCAGGAGAATTGCCTGAACCCAGGAGGCGGAGGTTGCAGTGAGCTGAGATCGTTCCATTGTACTCCAGCCTGGGTAACAAGAGCGAAACTCCATCTCAAAAAAAAAAAAAAAAAATTAATTTGGGGTAAAGGAGAAAGAAAGCAATGGCTGAACTTTACAGCCTGTCCCAGTCTGTGCTTTGTTTGTGATCAGTAGTTAGCTTACAAACCTCTTACTGCCTCAATAAAATGATAATGCAGTTGTCCTTCATAATCTTAGCAATTTCTGGAGGGTAAAAGTTAAAAAGCAATACAAAAAAGTTCTAGAAGTATCAGGGAAAATTATGTTGATAATGGTCATATGGAACTTCCTTCAAGTTGCCCTTTTTGAATTTAAGATGTGACCTGTAAACAAGCAGCCATATTTCAGGCTCACAGTTTATTTGCTTTTAAATTTTTTGACTTGTATTATTTTGTTTTGTGGTGGCATGATTGTTAAAGATTGCAGAGTTCCTTCTTAGTAGTGAAGAAATAGAAACCAAAGATGAAAAAGAAATGGATAAAGAAAATAATGATGGCAGTAGTGAAGGTGGCAAGTCAGTTGGCTTCCTCTCTGTTCCCAAGTCTCTCTTATCAGATTCTACTTTACTTCTATTTAAGGACAGCTCTTCCAAGATGGGGTAAGTGATTCTCTCTAAAAAAATATAAAATTGCCTTGGATTTGTCCCTCCTGTAAAAAGTAAGAAAAGATTCTGAACCAATTTACCTTCTTATTTTGCAGTTACTTTCCTACTGAAGAAAAATCAGAAACAGATGAAAATTCAGGCAAACAGCCTAGCAAACTGGGTAAGTAATGATTCCTGCGCAGAACTTGACATTTTTTTTGTCCCTCAGCTTTGATATTTAGGGACTGCAGTACCGTAAGTTTCCTTTTTTTTTAATCTGGTCACTTCCCAGTCTCTCATGTGGCAATTAAAGGGGTTTATGAGTTAGAATATTTTTCTTGGTCTATTTTTTGAAAACTTGCGGTTTATTTATAGTAGGACATGATACATAATGTCCTTAGTGAATATGTGTTGATTGAGTGAGCAATGAAATATTTCTGTAAGTAGATCAAAGGAAGACATATAATTGGATAATGAAGAGTGTGATTATAGGCATTAGGCAGAATAAGAGAAAGAAGAAAACTTTTGGCTTGGTGCAGTGGGTCACACCTGTAATGCCAGCAGTTTGGGAAGCTGAGGCAGAGGTGGATCACAAGGTCAGGAGATTGAGACCATCCTGTCTAAGATGGTGAAACCCTGTCTCTACCAAAAGTACAAAACATTAGCTGGGCATGGTGGCATGTGCCCATTGTTCCAGCTACTCAGAAGGCTGAGGCAGGAGAATCGCTTGAACCCAGGAGGCGGAGATTTCAGGGAGCACTACTGCACTCCAGCCAAGAGGCGGAGATTTCAGGGAGCACTACTGCACTCCAGCCTGAAAGAGCAAGACTCTGTCTCCAAAAAAAAAAAAAAGAAGAGAACTTTCAAATGTCACCGCTCAGAGTAATAAGCCCTGATTATATAATGCTATCTTAGTACTGTAATTTACCTTTAACTTAATGTTTTGGAACATATAACTCGAGGGGTTTGCCTATGAATTTTATCTGACAGTTTCATCCTCAACTCTTTTTCCTAAACAAATCCACCTTATTTCTGTAATCATGCACTTAAAAGGTGTTTCTCTTTCTTTAGATGAGGATGATTCATGTTCATTGCTAACAAAGGAGAGCAGCCACAATAGCAGCTTTGAGCTGATTGGCTCCACGATTCCATCCTATCAGCCTTGCAACAGACAAACAGGCCGTGGGACCAGTTTTTTACCTACAGCAGGAGGATTCAGATCTCCTTCCCCTGGGCTATTTCGAGCCAGTTTGGTCAGCTCAGCTTCTAAGGTAAGATGGTAATGGTTTTTCTAATCTCCTCCTTTCTTTGCTTCCCACAATGCTAAATAAAATGTGTCCCAGCCAACCAACTCCCACCACATCGGTACTGAGCTAATGTGTGTTCAGTTTAAAAAATCCACCCACTTTGTGTATTAAAAACAAGCTTCATCCAGTATTCTTACTTTATTGGAGGTATTTTTCTTTATGCTTCTCATGGCTGTGTATTGTCCTCCTCAACTGCAATTGCTGGAGAGTAGACTGAATTTTACAAATAGCAACTTCTGTTGTTGTCATGACAATGAATGACATTTGTAAAATGTTTTGTTATTGTTTGTTTTTGTTTGGGTACCAGAGTTCAGGGAAACTGTCTGAGCCTTCACTTCCCATAGAGGATTCCCAGGATCTGTATAACGCCTCCCCAGAACCTAAGACACTTTTCCTAGGAGCAGGAGACTTCCAGTTCTGTTTAGAAGATGACACTCAGAGCCAACTGTTGGATGCAGATGGGTAGGTAGTTTTGTGTTTCTGTGGGTGGGAATGGTGCTGGGTACCGCTTAATTTTGTTTAAAAATAAGTGAGCTTCTGTCACTCCATCTGTGCTTTCTCTTCTGAGAAAGAGAAGGTGTACAGACCATTAGTATTACATTCCATAAGTTTGAACAAAGTCTGTCCAGAGAATAAAACATAAATAGCTCTTGCTGACATTCTGGTCCTTCAGTTTCTGTCTTATTTGAAATGCGTAGATCCTGTATTGTAAGGTCATCAAATTTCCCTGTATCCATCCTGCTATGTTATTGTTGGGTACGATTGAGAATTCACAGACGGGTGACACATTATAATGCCATGGATATAATGCCAAGCCCTGCTCTAGCATCCTCTGAAGCTAAAAGTTATTCTTTATACTTTACCTTTTGAGTAACATTTTATTCTTTCACAAAATTTTCCCTTCCTCTTTAGATTAACACAAGCCTAAAGTTTGAATCTTTTGCTTTCTGGTTTGAGATTCAGCTTTTAACTGGTATTGGAAATGAGTTTAGTGGTTTTTCACCCCCTACTTTGCCATTTCTCTGAGGAATATTTATACTATTCATTGTGCTCATTGGCTCGTAGGTTCTTAAATGTTAGAAACCACAGGGATCAGTACCAAGCTTTGAAGCCTCGATTGCCATTGGCCAGTATGGATGAGAATGCCATGGATGCCAACATGGATGAGCTGTTGGATTTGTGTACTGGAAAGTTTACGTCTCAGGCTGAAAAACAGCTACACAGGAAGAGTGACAAGAAAGAGAACATGGAGGAACTTCTGAACCTTTGTTCAGGAAAATTCACTTCTCAGGGTAAATATCCAACAGAGAGCATCAGGCTTACAACACCCAGGTATCCATGTCCTTGAAAAGAATTCCCTAGCCAAGTGCTGTGGCTCACACCTGTAATCCTAGAACTTTGGGAGACCGAGTTGGGTGGATCACTTGAGCTTAGAAGTTTGAGACCAGCCTGGGCAACATGGCAAATCCACGTCTCTATGAAAAAAAAAATTAGCTGGACATGGCAGCACGTGCCTGTGATCCCAGCTACTTGGGAGGCTGAGATGGGAGGATCTCTTGAACCCAGAGGTGGAGGTTGCAGTGAGCTGAGATCACAGCACTGCACTCCAGCCTGGGTGGCAGAGACCCTGCCTGAAAATAAAAAGAAAGAAAGAAAAGTTCACAGAAAACAGGGCTGTGATGGAATCTTGTATATAAATTAATTCACTGCTTAGTGCTCTAACATTTAGAACTGTTACTTTCTTAGAGTGATAAAGTATCAATTAAGACTGTTTTAGCTTTGCCCATATGATATGTCATTTATGATTAACATACATTAAAAGTTTAGAACAGTGTCTGATATATAATAAATTTCATATAAATGTTAACTTATTTCCTGTCTCCTTCCCCCAATGCACACACCTGGTAGATAGAACATAAGCTCTATGACACCTGGGATAGTTGTTTGTTCATTACTGTATCCCTGGTGGTTTGGCATATATGGCAAATAGTAAGCCCTAAATTAGGATTTTTTGAATAGACGGTAGGCTCTTCTTGGCAAGCTTACCTTAGAACTGTGTCGAGCTGGCATGACTTTAGATCGCTGAGAAAAGAGTATAAAGCTGTCATTCCTTGGTGACACACATCTTATCCTTGTTGTGTTGTAGATGCCTCCACTCCAGGCTCATCAGAGTTAAATAAACAGGAGAAGGAGAGCAGCGTGGGTGATCCAATGGAAGAAGCACTTGCTCTTTGCTCAGGCTCTTTTCCAACAGACAGGTAAGTCTCAGATTGCTGGGAACTTGGGAAGGCCTAACCTTTTGATAAAATCTTGAGGTTAGGTTCTCTGGGATTAGCAATAACTGATCATCCTAAGGGCTTTGTACCTTTTCTGAGAATCTTGCAGTGGATTTGAGTTTCATATATGCCTAGTAAGCAAATTATAATGCTTTCATGGGGAACAGGGTAAAAAAGGCAAGAATATGAAAGATATTTAACGTCATTAATAATTAGGAAAATGCCAATCAAAACCACAGTGAGACACCCATTAAGATGACTTTTATAAAAAAAAACCCCAAAAAGTGTTAGGAAGAATGTGGAGAAATTAGAAACCTTGTGTATTATTGGTGAGAAGGTAAAATAGTGCAGTGGCTAGAGAAAGTAGTATGATGGCTTCTCAAAAATTAAAAATAGAGACAAGCTGCGGTGGCTCACATCGGTAATCCCAGCACTTTGGCAGGCTGAGGCAGGTGGATCACCTGAGGTCAGGAGTTTGAGACCAGCCTGACCAACATGGTGAAACCCTGTTTCTACTAAATACAAAAAATTAGCTGGGCATGGTGGTACATACCTGTAATCCCAGCTACTTGGAGGCTGAGGCAGGAGAATTGCTTGAATCCTGGAGGCAGAGGTTGCAGTGAGCCGAGAGTGTGCCATTACACTCCAACCTGGGCAACAAGAGCAAAACTCAGTCTAAAAAGAAAAAAAAAAATAGAATGACCATATGATCCAGCAATTTCACTTCTTAGTCTATGCCTCAAAAAAGTAAAAGTGGGACTTGAACAGATATTTGCATCCTATGTTAAAAGCAGCATTATTCACAGTAAGTAGTCAAAACATGGAAGCAACCTATGTCTGTTGACAGATGAATGGGTATATTCATCAACAAAATGTGGTATATACATGCAATGGAATATTCAGCCTTAAAATGGAAATTATGGCTGGGCATGGTGGTTCACACCTGTAATCCCAGCACTTTGGGAGGCTAAGGTGGGTGCATCACTTGAGCCCAGTAGTTTGAGACCAGCCTGGACAATATGGCAAAACTCCATCCCTACAAAAAATACTAAAATTAGCTGGGCATTCAGGGGTCTGAGGTGACAGCCTGGGAGGTCAATGCTGCAGTGAGCCATGATTGTGCCACTTCACTCTGGGCAACAGAGCAAGATCCTGTCTCAAAAAAAAGGAAATTCTGACACTTACTGCAACGCGGATGAACCTTAGGATGTTATGCTAAGAGAAATAAGCCAGTCACCAAAAGACAAATACTGTATGAGTTCACTTACGTGAGATACTTAGTCAGATGCATAGAGACAGAAAGTAGAATGGTGATTGCCAGGGACTGAGGCTATGGGAAATGGAGAGTTTAATGGGTATAGAGTTTTAGTTTTGCAAGCTGAAAAGAGTTCTGGAGATTGCTTAACAATGTCAATGTACTTAACACTACTGAACTATACACTGTATATTTTACCACAACTGAAAATTAAGAAAATGTTTTTTGCTGTTTTTTGAAGAGATCATTGGTGCTAGTAAAAGTTTTAAATTTTGCTGGGCAAGGTGGCTCATACCTGTAATCTCAGTACTTTGGGAGATGAAGGCAAGCGGATTGCTTGAGCCCAGGAATTCCAGATGGACCTGGGCAACATGGTGAAATCATCTACAAAAATTAGCTGAGCATGGTGGCTTGGACCTCTAGTCCCAGCTACTCAGGAGGCTGATGTGGGAGGATCACTTGAACCCTGGAGGTGGAGGTTGCAGTGAGCTGAGATGGTGCCACTGTACTCTAGCTGGTGTAACAGACCAAGAGCGTCTCAGAAAAAAAAAACCACACACACACACACAAATTTTTTTTAATTCCTAACTTGTCTGACTACTTGTAGTTTGCTTTTAACAACTTATTTATTGATTCATTGATTTGCATTTTAGGGAAGAGGAAGATGAGGAGGAGGAATTTGGAGACTTTCGGCTTGTTTCAAATGACAATGAGTTTGATAGTGATGAGGTGAGTATGAAGGGAACAAAGTAATCATAACTGAGCTTCATATATTGCTGCCCTTGGGTGTTTTTCCCCTCAGTTCTTAAGAATTCTAAGTTTAGCATCTTATCAGAAACAATTTTCTAGAATTTTTGGTGTTTGGGCAGATGTTTATAAATCCTGTTTTTGTTGAGGACACATTTTCTTTTGCATAATTTGGAAGTGATGCTGATTTTGTAGGATGAACACAGTGACTCTGGTAATGAAGATCTGGCACTAGAAGACCATGAAGATGATGATGAAGAAGAACTCCTGAAGCGATCTGAGAAGTTGAAAAGGCAAATGTAGGTGCCATTACTATGTCCATTCCTTAAGCTGTATTTAAAAGTTGATAACTAGGACCGCCGTGGTGGCTCGAGCCTGTAATCCCAGCACTTTGAATGGGTAAACAAAATGAGGTATATACATGCAATGGAGTATTCAACCTTAAAATGGAAATTCTGGCTGGGCACGGTGGCTCATACCAGTAATCCCAGCACTTTGGGAGGCTGAGATGGGTGGATTGCCTGAGGTCAGGAGTTCAAGACCAGCCTGGCCAGCATGGTGAAACCCCATCTCTACTAAAAATATAAAAATTAGCTGGGCATGATGGTGGGCACCTATAGTCCCAGCTACTCGGGAGGCTGAGGCAGGGAGAATCGCTTGAACCTGGGAGGCAGAGGTTGCAATGAGCTGAGATTATGCCATTGCACTCCAGCCTGGACAACAAGAGCAAAACTCCGTCTCAAAAGAAAAAAAACAAAAAACAATTTAGCCAGGCATGGTAGCACACACCTATAATCCCAACTACTCGGGAGGTTGAGGCATGAGAATTGCTTGAACCCAGAAGGCGAAGGTTGCAGTGAGCCAAGATGGTGCCACCACACTCCAGCCTGGACAACAGAGTGAGACTTCATCTCAAAAGAAAAGAAAAGAAAATACAGTATAGGTCTTGGATAAAAATCAGTTTTCAGAAAGCTACCAAACTTCTGCCATTTTGGACCACATGGGACCAAGAAGACTTAGAACCCAGGGTGACAGCATATTTGTTCTCAGGGGGAGCTGAAGTCAGAAAAAGTAACTAAGTATTACTTTTGATTACGAGGAGCTCTGAGCCTTAGTCTTCCTTCTAATATGGGGGTCAAGATTTGGTAGACTGTAAGAAGATCCCAGTTTATTACCTTTCTACACCACACCATCTCCAGTTTCTCTCTTAAAGCTGATGTGCTCAAATGCAAAACAAAATAGTTTGAACCTTCCATCAGATATTCTAATGCATGTAGAAGAGATTAAGAGTTTTCTGGCTTTCAAGTCACCCAATCTAAGTTGAATCCAGGCTCTGCTACCTTCTAGCTATGTGTTCTTGGATAAATTTAATCTTTCTGAGGCTCGGTTCCCTCAACTGTAAAATGAAGAGAATAATAGTACCCGTTCCTAAGATAAGATGTTAATGCTTGTAAAGCATAGTCATTAGCACATAGGACATATTAAGTGATCAACTTTTAAATGTAGATGCTCCACATCTTACAATGGAGCTGTATCCTGATCAATCTGTCATAAGTTGAAAATGCACTTTTGGCTTATCCAGATATAAATTGAGAAGCATACTAAGTGCAAATCACGTTCATGCCATCGTAAAGTTGAAAAATCATTAAGTCAAACCATCAGGTAGACTATTACCAAAAAAATTTAAATATTATCAAAATGTATTATTATTATTAGAAGAGGCTCTGTGTTCTGCTTTTCTCTGCTTCCATATTCTGTGAGTATATTCATTGTTAGATTTCCTAATTCTCAAAATTGCTTTCTAGGAGGTTGAGGAAATACCTGGAAGATGAAGCAGAGGTGTCAGGAAGTGATGTGGGAAGTGAAGATGAGTATGATGGGGAAGAGATTGATGAATATGAAGAGGACATAATTGATGAAGTACTTCCTTCTGATGAGGAACTACAGAGTCAAGTCAAGAAAATACACATGTCAGTATCCCAGCAAGCCCTTCTGAGTAACAGGGTATATCCTAAGACAGGCCCTGTAACCAGCCAGAATGGTCCTTGTTTTGAACACCTTATTTTTCCTATTATAGGAAAACTATGTTGGATGATGATAAGCGACAGCTACGTTTATACCAAGAGAGGTACCTTGCTGATGGGGATCTGCACAGTGATGGTCCTGGGCGAATGAGGAAGTTTCGATGGAAGAACATAGGTATCTTGGTTGTTGCCTTTAAAAGCAAATAGTTACAATGTGCTCGTTTGTTCAGTTTCACATGGCAAATGGCAAGCAAAACTAATAGGCTATGGGAAGACCTAGTTGTAGCTGTTGTTTTCTGTTAGTGGATGGGAAAAGGTTACATCATGATGTAGTAAACGATAAGGGTTTATTTTTTGTCTGTCCAAGCAAACTCTCCTGTGAGGATTGCTGAATGCTGATTACCTTCACTCTTTGTTTAGATGATGCTTCCCAGATGGACTTGTTCCACAGAGACTCTGATGATGATCAGACCGAAGAACAGCTTGATGAGTCAGAGGCCAGGTGGAGGAAGGAGCGAATTGAACGAGAGCAATGGCTTCGGGACATGGTAGGAATTCACCTACTCTGACCCTTGTTTATGAGGCTCTCGCTTAGCTTGTCATGATAGTTTCAAAATCTTGTTGGCCGAGTGCAGTGGTTCACACCTGTAATCCCAGCACTTTGGGAGGCCAAGCCAGGCAGATCATGAAGTCAGGAGTTCAAGACCAGCCTAGCCAACAGGGTGAAACCCCGTCTCTACTAAAAATAAAAAAATTAGCTGGGTATGGTGGCACGTGCCTGTAATCCCAGCTACTTGGGAGGCTGAGGCAGGAGAATTGCTTGAACCAGGACCCGGGAGGCGGAGGTTGCAGTAAGCTGAGATTGCGCCACTGTACTCCAGCCTGGGCTAGAGCAACACTCCATCTCAAAAAAAAAAAAATCTTAGCTTGGCATGATAGTTTCATAATCTTAGGCACCATATTCTTATCTCCTTTAATCCTTGAGCTATCTTTTGTATTTTGAGAAGGCTACCATGGACAGTTCTCTTCACGTTTGTCTAAGATTAATTTTTTTGTTTAAAGTAGCAAAGGTTGCAAAAAGAAAAACAAATGATACCCCAAGGAACTCTAGTTTCACAATCCAGGCCATGCTAACTATTTAGGAAGACTATAGACTTTTTTTTTAATGCTTTATAATTTTTATTTTCAGGCACAGCAGGGGAAAATTACAGCTGAAGAAGAAGAAGAAGTTGGGGAGGACAGTCAGTTTATGATACTGGCCAAGAAAGCTACAGCCAAAGCACTGCAGAAGAATGGTGAGCTCTTGTTTCTCCTTAGGGTCTAGCCCCCTGATTGTTAGTGCTAGCACTTTGGAGGTGATTCTAATCTTCAGGAGCTATTGCAGCTTAATCATAAGCTTGTGTCTAATACTGTCTTAAAGAGGCTTCACAGAGATGGTGGGGGACAGTGTACTTAGCTCTTAGACTGTTGGGCAGTAGAGACTGTACTTTTGAGTATATGTAACTGGTTTTACTTTATGTCCTAAGGCTCTCAGAATAGTTAATTCTGGCTTTCTCTATTTCGTTGCCCAGGATTTTATACCTAAGTGTTAGAGGTGGGATTTTAATCCAGGAATATTTAATTCCAGAAATGAAGCTCTTTACTATTTCCCACACTTACCACTTCTGTTTTTCTTAAATGATTACTCTTCAATTTACTTGTCTGTCTTCTTTGAGCCAATTCTTGTAGTTTCAAAGTCACCATTTTATAGAACAGAGTTCCCATGGCTTTAGCATATTGATTTAGTTACATTTGTCTTAGTTTGTTTAAATTTAAAAGTAATTCTAATCAGCTTTTCCCAGAATAGGCCTCTGTCTTTTCTTTCCAGCCAGTCGCCCTGTGGTTATTCAAGAATCAAAGTCTTTGCTCAGAAATCCTTTTGAAGCCATCAGACTGGGAAGTGCTCTTCAGGTTAGTTGGGAACCTAGTTAATCCAACATCTAGTCTACAGGTTATAAAGGCCGAAGTTCAGCTTAGGGAATAGTCTAGTCTCTGTATTTAGAGGAGGAAGGTGGCTGCAGGGAAAAAGTTAATGTTAAAGGAGTTCGCTATTTCTTTTCTACTTGAATAGGGTAGGAAAATGTATCCTCAATATCTGGGGGGAGGTAGGGAGGCAAGGACTTTTCATTCTTGAGTTGGCACTTGGGATTTGATACTAGATGACTCATCTTTCCTCAGGTGAAGACAGGCTCACTGCTAAAGCAGCCCAAAGCTGTGCTTCAGAAACTGGCTGCTCTCTCTGATCTTAACCCCAGTGCTCCTCGAAATTCAAGAAACTTTGTCTTTCATACACTTTCTCCTGTCAAGGCTGAGGCAGCAAAGGAATTGTCTAAGTCTCAGGTATGGAATTTGAGAACTAATATGGTGGATTCCCAAACTAGAATTTATTTATTTAAATTTAAAAACAAAAATTCTGACTTAACAACTTTATGCTGCAGTGTTGAAATCTTGCACTCCCCAATAAAGTACAAGAGAATTGCTACCCCAAGTAGGCAATCAACTTTGACACTTGCCTAGAAAGTTTATCTTTCTTTCTTTTTTTCTGTTTTTAATAATCCAAGATTTAACTATAAGTTGCTTGAGAGCTAGTTGAAGGTAAGTACTTGTATAAAGGTCTTAAGCTGGCCCTGACTCCCTCTCTGCTCTCTAGGTAAAGAGAAGGGGTCCATCTTTCGTGATTTCTCCTTCACCTAAGCGCCTGAAAACGGATGATAATAGCACTTCAGGATTGAAGCAAAGCATCTTCAAATACTTGGAGAGCTAACACCATCAAGGGTACCAGAATCTACCTTGAGACTGCCTTGAGAAGTTTCTAGCACCGAGAGTTGGAATAGACACTCAAGCCGATGATCCTTTATAATCAATGCAATAAGATTGCAGACTGAAATTCCAGTTCTTTCTACTGCACAGCTCTGGACATCTCTTTTCCTGGTATTAGTCCCTGGATTGGCCACTGATCTCAATTCTGCAGTATTTACAACATCAACAAACTCATGGAATACTTGGGTGAGGTTTCTTTTTTTTTTTCTTTTTTTTTTAAGGTGGAGTCTCACTCTGTTGCCCAGGCTGGTGTGCAATGGTGTGATCTCGGATCACTGCAACCTCCACCTCCCAGGTTAAAGCAGATTTTTGTATTTTTAGTACAGACGGGGTTTCACCATGTTGGCCAGACTGGTCTCAAAACTCCCGACCTCAAGTGATCCACTCACCTTGGTCCCCCAAAGTTCTGGGATTACAGGCATGAGCCACACCACACCTGGCCTTGGGTTAGGTGTCACTTCTTCCATTAAACATCTGACATTTTATCCTAGCAGCTTCCTGGGTTAATATCTCTTTGTGATAGAAGTGGTTGGAAGAAGAAGAGTAGGGAAAACTGTGACATTACAGATTAGAGAAGACAGTGAAAATCAGTACCATAATGACTACTTTGCACCCATGAGATATGGACCGTGATGACCAGGGTTCAGTGAAAGAAAGTTTTTTTGTTTTTTTTTTGTTTTTTTTGTTTTTTTTGAGACAGTCTCACTCTTGCCCCGGCTGGAGTACAGTGGTGCAATCTTGGCTCATGGCAACCTCTGCCTCCTGGGTTCAAGCAATTCTCCTGCCTCAGCTTCTTGAGTAGCTGGGACTACAGGGGTGCTCCACCACACCCAGCTAATTTTTGTATTGTTAGTGGAGACGGGGTTTCACCATGTTAGCCAGGCTGGTGTTGAACTGACCTCAAATGATCCAGCCACTTCGGCCTTCCAAAGTGCTGGGATTACAGGCGTGAGCCACTGCACCCAGCTGAAAGAAAGATTCCTAGAGGACCTAGGAACCAATACATGAGCTGCTGTATTAGTCTTACCGCTTTCATTTTTCTGTATGCGTCTTCCCAAGGCAGCATCACATTTTGAATTAATTTTTGCTGCTTAAGGACTTCCACTGGTACCCAAGTCAGAAAGACTGTGGCTCTAATTTTCTGGAGCTAAGATAAATGTTAGACCCAGTGTTCGTCCATCACAGTCTATGAGGCAGAGAGACCTTTCCTGGGACTGAATTCTTAATTTGAAGCATTGTTGTTCAAAGACCTCCCTTCTGGGTCTGACAAAAAGAAACATAACCATTATTTATTTCGTTCTCCTGGCTTACATACATTGCCCTCACTAGTCAATGGACATTTCAGTATTTCATTACTAATTTTGAGAGAAGATCACCATGGAATTGAATACAAACATTATTGAAGAGAATTGCCATCATTCTTTATTTTCCCTGAACGACCACAAGCTTCTCAGAATTCTGAACAAATGTTTTTCCCCTCAGAACCGAGCATCAGTGCTGCTTTGGAAAAACATTCTATGTGAATGTTGTGGTTTCAGTGTCAGGAGCTGGACTTGGGAAGCTGGAAGAGAATATGCCAGTTTTTTATTGGGAGGTGAGAATACCAACTTAATTGATGAAATTAGGTTGTAGATTTTCTACAGTTTTCTAATACTCATGTTTGTATATTTGTAATCTTATAATGGGGAAAATGTATATAAAGATGTTTTAATATGTATGTAGTTTTTCAATAAATCTTAATGCCTTAAAGGGAAGATTTGCTGTCCAGCTTGAATGCTCATTCTTAGGTCAGTACTTGTCTAACATTGAGAAACATTTCATTTTTAGGTTATCTCCATCCTAGGGAAACCCTCTGGATCTAAAATGAGAGGCTGCTGCAGTTGTCCCCTCACTGGCTTCTCAGTCCTAGTGAATTAATCAAGTCAACTTACCAAGTGGTTTGGGTTCAGCATAGAAGAGAGCTGAATTTACATAAATGGCACCTTCTGTTATAACTCTTTTTAAAAAAAATTATTTTTAGAGACAGTCTCATTCTGTTGTCCAGGTTAGAGTGCAGTGGCACAGTCATAGCTCACTGTATGTACCCTTGAACTCCTGGGCTTAAGCATCCTCCTTCCTCAACCTTTGGAGTAGCTGGGCAACATTACAGGTGCATGCCCCCATGCCCAGCTAATTATTTTATTCTTGTAGAGACAGGGTCTTGCTATGTTGCCCTGGCTGATCTTGGACTGCTGATTTCAAGCAGTCCTCCCACCTTGGCCTCCCAAAATGCTGGAGTCACAAGCTCACCCACCAGCACAGCCTGTTATAGCTCTTTGATTGGCCTTTCTTTTTAGATGAGTTTGCATGTACTTCATTTTACCCATGGGTTTAAGATAAGTGTTTTTGCCTCTTTTGAGCTCTCTAAACAGTGCCCAAGACAACATAGCCGTTGCTGAGCAGGAAGGTTACATATTTCTCCCCTTGTTTCCCCACATGTCTTTTAGGGAAGAGATGGAAAAGACAATTGGAATTGACAACTGGGGGTAAGAAAATTCAGCCAGGCACGGTTTACACTGGTATTACATGACTCACACTGGTAATCCCAGCACTTTAGGAGACTGAGGCGGGTACACTGCTTGAACTCAGGAGTTCAAGACTAGCTGGGTCAACATGGTGAAACCCTGACTCTATTAAAAATAATAATAAACAAATAAGAAAATTAGACCCTGCAAAATCTTGGGAGAAAATGATTTCTGGGCCAGGTGCAGTGGCTCATGCCTGTAATCCCAGCACTTTGGGAGGCTGAGGTGGGTGGATCACCTGAGGTCAGGAGTTTGAGACCAGCCTGACCAGGAAGGTGAAACCCCATCTCTATTAAAAATACAAAACTTATCTGGGCATGATGGCAGGTGCCTGTAGTCTCAGCTACTCGGGAGACTGAGACAGGAGTATTGCTTGAACCCGAGAGACAGAGGTTGCAGTGAGCCGAGATCGTGCCACTGCACTCCAGCGTGGGCGACGGAGCAAGACTGTCTCAAAAGAAAAAAAGAAAATGGTTTCTGATTGAAGCACCTGGGAGAAAGCACTCTTTAGAGAAAGAAAACTTGAGTCTTAAATTTCTGGGTTACTTTTCCTTACGCCAGGATAGTTGCTATGAGGTGAGCTAAGCCTTGATCTTGGAAACAGGTTTGACATGGACAGGTTTTGATCTGATGTTGCCCAAGGCACTGAGCCAGCAGCATCAGCTATGTTTTAATGAAATTGAAGTCCCAGGACCTACCACTATGGCTCCTAGGAGAACTCAGCTCCACTAACTTGGAAATTACACATTTGGAGGGATGAGAGCCCATGAGTGTGAGAGATAGATAGAGTGTGCTCAGTGTCACACAGATTTTGTTTCTTCCTTATTCCATACACTTGAATAGGAATATGGTATTAGCCTCTTTAAACGGGTCCCTAATCTCATCTCATTAATTCACAGTTGCACAGCCATGCTAGGGTCTCTTCCATAAACCATAAGATTTTATTCACTAAAGCTCTAGAGACAAGGTGCTCAGATCTCTGTAGCTTCTCAATTGCTTCTCTAAAAACTTCCCACTTGGAGAGTTTCTAATGCTTAGGCTGGAAGACGTTTTAGGGGGTGTTTTTGGTTTTTATCTCCTAGGTTTATGTCTAACTACTCTTGGGGCATCCTGTCCTAGGACTTGTGTACCTCAGGATAGAGGAGAGTATTTCTGGGAAGAGTGTTGTCATGATACTATTTTATTATATCATCCTTGAAATGGTATTGTATCTTCTACCCTTAATTCCTGCTCATGGCCTGGCACACAGCTTGGAATGTAGTGGTGCCTACTACAGTCTGAATAAATAACACTACACTTTTCAGAAGCTCTGTTTATAAAATGAGGATACTAAGTCATGGTTGTCTCAGAGTAGCTGGGAGCCTTAAGTTGGAAAATGTATGTCAGTGCATTATGTCAAGTGCTACTCTGTAAGCATAAGAAATTGCCAGTAACTCCCAGAAAAAAGAAATTTGCCTCGTTTAAGAATGAAAGAGCTTGTTCCTGGGAGGATGGACAGAGGAACCCCAACCGCCTGCGAATCCCAAGCTGTCGCGTAGGTGCACGCGTTTGGGCCCTCTTTTCCCCTGTTCGACTTCCCACCCCCAGGATGTCAACCTCAGTCCCTCAAGGCCATACCTGGACCCGACTGGTGGTGAAAGAAGAGGAGGAGGAGGACCCGCTGGACCAGCTGATCTCCCGCTCTGGCTGTGCTGCCTCCCACTTTGCAGTGCAGGAGTGCATGGCCCAGCACCAGGACTGGCGGCAGTGCCAGCCACAGGTGCAGGCCTTCAAGGACTGCATGAATGAACAGCAGGCAAGGCGGCAAGAGGAACTGCAGCGAAGGAAAGAACAAGCCAGTGCCCACCACTGAGACCCCATACGAGCTATCCCCAGTAGATGGCCCTGCCAAAACCAGCACCCAGAGAGATCATAGAGGAAGAAATTCTGAATGGTGGGTGTGGGAGGTGTAAAACATGTGGATAGTTTTTGGATCTGTAATTGAGAGCAGTGGGTTTGGACATGACTGCCACAAACAGCTGTCATATATTCAGGGTCAGATCTTACACATCCTCAACTGTCTTGTTCCACCAGTATTTGCCATGAAAACAGAGAATGGGGTAAGGGATGCTCCCCCACCCCACATCTTGGGTCAGTGTACCAAGTACTGAGATGATATTAGGGACATTTGTATTTAAATTAAATTCATAATCCAATGGTAAATTGGTTACCTAAAAAAAAAAAAAAAAGAATGAAAGAAAGAAATTACCAGTATCGCAATTACATCATATATTGTAGGCCACTTCTTAAAGGCCCATTGTTTTTCAAATATCTCAAACTTATCCTTGAAAATGTGATCTTCTCTAAAAACCTGCTCTTCCTCCTGTATTTGCCATTTCAGTAATTAACACCTCCATATACCCAGTCACTCAGACTGGAAACCTGAAGAGCATTCTCGATACCTTCCTTAATTCTGTAATCAGACAATCTCCAAGTTCTGTTATTTCTACTTCCAAACTGCATCTTGAATCAGCTCATTTCTTCCAGCTCTATGACCAATGCCCTGGTCCAAGATTCCATAATTTTTTTCCAGGGTACTGCCATAGCCTCCTGACCTCCCCACTTCTGTTTTTGCTTCCCTTCCATCCAATCTGCATAGCAGCCAGAGGTGACCTTTATATAAACATGATTTGGAGGATAACACTTCCCTACTTATAATCTCTTAATGTCTTCTACTGCACTCAAAAGTTCAAACTTCTCATGGACAACAAGGCCCTGCATGATATAGCTCTGCCTCCCAACCTCCTGCCTATTTTTCTTTCTCATGACATGCAGCCTCAGGACCATCTAAAGGGTCCTTCTCTTTTCCTGGAATGCTCTGCCCTCCAACTTCCCTCTTTGTCTGACTAATGCATAATTCTCCAGGTGTTAGCTTAAGCCTAATTTCTTCAGAGGAGGCTTCTCTGACCATTACCACTCCTTTCTTAAGTAGGTTACCTCTGTTTACGTTTTCTATTTTTTTTCGAGATGGATTCTAGCTCTGTCGCCCAGGCTGGAGTGCAGTGCAGTGATCTCAGCTCATTGAAACCTCTGTCTCTGATTTAAGCAGTTCTGCCTCAGCCTCCCAAGTACCTGGGGTTACAGCCACATGCCACCACCTCTGGCTAATTTTTGTTTTTTTAATAGAGATGGGGTAGGTGTTAACTTAAGCCTAATTTCTTCATTTCAGAGGAGCCTTCTCTGACCATTACCACCCCTTTCTTAATTAGGTTACCTCTGTTTAGGTTTTCTATTCTTTGTTGTTGTTGTTGAAACGGATTCTCACTCTGTCACCCAGGCTGGAGTGCAGTGATGTGATCTTGGCTCACTACAACCTCAGCCTCCCAGGCAATCAGTTCTCCTGCCTCAGCCTCCCAACTAGCTTGGGTTATAGGTGCTCACCACCACGCCTGGCTAATTTTTGTATTTTTAGTAGGGATAGGTTTTCGCTATATTGGCCAGGCTGATCTTGAACTTTTGACCTCAAGCGATTCACCTACCTCGGGCTCCCAAAGTGCTGAGATTACAGGCATGAACCACTGCATCCAGCCTTAAGTTTCCTATGCTTTTGGGTCTGTTATCATGATGTGGTACCTTAATGTTTGTTGAGTCTTTGCCTTCATATCTGTTTCGTTGAAAAATGTATGCTTTGGGTAGCACCGTGCCTGGCACATAAAATAATTCAATAGATTTTTTGAGCAATGAGTGATGGGAGGCCTGGAAGAGCTAATGGTGAAAAGCAGGGAGCTGAATGTATACAGAGGAGCTGTATACAGTTCTGTAGTACAGAATAGAGGGGTAGAGCTTTGGTCCTTGCTCTTTCTGCAGCTTGTAGGCATCATGACTTTGGGTAAGTCATTACCTCTTAACTTTTTTCCTCAACTGGAAAAATGAGGCTCATGTGAAATGACTTGGTTTAACTCACAGGGTATGGTTAGGATCAAAGGTAGAAATTAATGTGAAGTGGTTGTGCATAGTAAAGAGGCTGTACTAATGCAGGCTACCTCACTGCTGAGGAATGGGGAGAGGAGATGCCTCATTATGCTCTGGTTGAGTGGGAAGGGGAAACCAAACCCCAACAAAACTCCATAGTCCACCAGTGGCGGCTAGCTATATGACAAGACTTACAGCAGTAGAAATGGAGGCCTGCGTGCATGCCTGGACTCTCATAGTGAACTGGGGAGATAGATAGGCAAGGCTTGTGTATGGCTGGTGTCACCTCAGATTTTGCCTTTTGAGAGCAAAGTGCCTGGTTTCTGTCCCCGGTAGTTGTATTGTCTTGGTCTGTACCATCCATGTCCTTCCCATCCTCTCTTTCTGTCCTCTGTCCTCTCACCTTAAAGGTTTTTCATTTTCAGGTTATTGATTTAGTTCTTCCCTGTGGTGGGATTCATAATGGGAAAAGGGGGTTTGAAGTAGCTACAGCTTAAGGGTGATTGGAAGGAGTTGTGGGGCTGGACACCTGAGTTCCTTCCCTTCATTTTAGAGAGAACCATAGTCTGTGGTATTCTTGATGGCAGCTGAGCTAGAGGTAGGGGTGAAGAGGCAGCTCCCAGTGACAGGCTAGAGAATTATTGCCTAGTCCAAGGGGTAGAAAGTGCTGGGGCAGGGTTGGGAGTGAGCTGTGGTTTGGGTTTTTCGGCCTGCATCTCTTTTTCTCAGAGGCTGAGGGAAGGAAAAGAGCTGACTGCCCACCCCTCTGTTTGTTTGTCTTGTCTAATTTAACTTACGTTATTTATCAAAAAGACAGGTTATTTGGAAAACCAGATAGACGTAGGCAAAAATCATCTGGGTTTTCCAAACATGAAAAATTAGGTTCTGCAGGCCCTGGAGGGAAGGCGTTTGTGTGTGTGTGTGTGTGTGTGTGTGTGTGTGTCGTTGCGGGGGGCGGGGGCGAGGTTCAGTGAATGTCTCGGTAGTTAGACGCAGACATTGTTCCATGACATTCAAGCATACTCCCTCCTTCATTTTCCTTCAAGTTCTTTTATGATTATAATCTAAATGAGAAAACTAAAATCTTCATGTTGGTTGCTGGATGTTTTAACTGACCAAGGATGAGAATCCATCAGGGCTACAGAAGAACAGCAGCTGACAGTTTTTTCTCTCTTTCCAGCCCTCAGTCTCTTACACAGAGTGGGCAGATAAGTGAGAGGTGCAGGATCCTGAGAGTTTTCTAAAGCAGAAACCTTTACCTCTTGTCTCTTCAATGTTATCATCCCAAAACAGTTGCAGCAAATATGGAGGTTAGACATTAGAGAAGAACTTACCATCTCAACTTTCTGATGATCAGATGGTTAAAAGAACACTGAGGGATTCAGGGTTGTCTCTCCAATCTCATCCAGGGAAGAAGCTAGCCCAGCTTCATTCTGAACAATGGTGGCTTGCTCTGTAGCTACAACCAGGAATTTGTAAAGCTTGTGGTTTGGGCCAGGCATGGTGGTACACACCTGTAATCCCAGCACTTTGGGAGGCTGAGGTGGGAGGATTGCTTGAACTCAGAGGTTTGAGACCAGCTTAGTAAAATGACAAAACCCTGTCTCTACAAAAACTACAATAATTAGCTGTGCATGGTGGCACATGCCTGTAGTCCCAACTACTTGGGAGGCTGAGGTAGGAGATTCACTTGAGCCCAGAGGTTTTGGCTCCAGTGGGCCAAAATTGCAGCGTTGCACTCCAGCCTGGGCAACAGAGTGAGACTGTCTCAAAAGAAAAAGCTTGTGGTTTTGTTACCTTGGGTAGCAACACTTCAAGGAAGGAATTAAAGCAGGAGGCTATTGAGGCACAACTCTTGGCTGCCATAGAGGAAATGTTCTGGCTGAAAGCAGAAAGCAAGCCATCCCATTCATACATATATGCACACACACAGAAGATAGCCAAGACCTTTCCTGGCCTGAGAAATCTTTGGCGGCCGCAATAGCACTTGTCTCATTGTGAGTGGCATTTTTTCAAAGTGTCATTGGACTGTGAAAGCTACTTAATAACTTGATCTCATCTGAATAATCTGAGTTAATACTAGCTTCACAGTTGTGAGGATTAAATAAAAAAATTGTGAAGTGTCTGCCTCAAGGCCTGGCACACAGTAAATCTTAACAAATGCTTGCTGAATGAATGAATCCATGAATCTGAGCATTAATGCTCTCCTCACCGTTTCCAAGGATCAGTGCATAACAGCCCCAGTAACTGAGACTTGTAGACTGTCCCAACTGAGCCTGCAGCCCGAGGCATGATCTAAACCTGCTATTCATTTAACACATATTTGATGAGTTATGGTGTGGAGGCTGGACC